CACATGTGCCCAGCATGAATTTAAGCCACCAGGTCCGGGACTCGAACCACGGTCGACTACGTGGGAGTCCAGCGACATAGCCATTACGCTAACTGCTGGTCCCTCAAATTGCTTTTAATGTGGTTAAAGTGTGAAACGATTTCTCTTTTGATGTTCTCACTATTAAAATTAAGAAATCTAGCTAGGTAAAGCTTTAATCAAATTATATCAACTCCAACCGTCTCCATCATCTGTCTTTTTCTCTCTCATACACACACACTCACTCACACACACACACGCAGAGCCCACACCATTGCTATCAAAGGAAACTATAGTATACTGAAGCTGGTGTGGCAAATTCCTAATTAATGTCAAAACTCCTGGGAGCTAAGATGCCATACTACCAAGAGACTGCTATTTTTAAAATATTTCTCTTTGAAAACAACACATGATTAATCTCATCCATTCTACTTAAATTACTTACGTAGAAACCACAGAGCACTCTAAGCAATTATTAAAAACATTTTATTATGTATAATTTGTACATGCCTTAAGTTGTGTTGCCTAGGGTGATTTATTTTCTGGGTTGAAATGTCATCTACCAAGACTAACTAGATCTAATTTTTATTCTGCCATGCCACATACAAAAATACAATTTTCAAAGCAAGCTTCCCCTTTTTTACACAAAGGTACACAAGAGTTTGTCAAATGAAGTAAGAAAAGAATACTTTGCACACGTATCGGCACCCTAAGACATTATCCTTCACATAGTAACAGCTAATGTGTTCTTTTATTTTGAAACAGCAGAAAAAGAGCCCCTTTGTTCTCAGAGAAAAATGCAAACTTTATTTGTTGCTAAAGCCAGACTTCAGGGATAAAGTCTGGCCCTCTCAGGGAAAGTAAGGAGCATGAGACAGATGGAGGAGGACGGACACCACTTCATAAGCACTTCAGGAGAAAGGAATTGCAGGTGGTTCCTCGGGGACAGTCACACAGCTTCCCAATCCTTGCTCCTTTTCGCACCGCACACTGCTCACCTGCGTCGCACTGCAAACAACACGATGTGCGGTCATCAGGCAGGAGCAAACCCAGGTCCCAGCAGGCAAGCCTCCCCAACGTCCACCACTCGACGGGGATGATTAGACCCCATCACCAACACCAGAGGTCTAAGTGCGGTTAGGCTGGAAACACGGAGCCTTATGCTGATGATTGCCATCAAAGGACATGTTTAAAGAAATGTAAATTACTCCCCTCACCTTTGGGTGAGGTGGAGGAAATCATATCCTGACTCCTTTTCTCGCTCATCCAAAGGAAGAATATCAGCCAGACTCTTTTTCTAAGAAATAAACAATAGATCTGTACTTCCTTACAGTCCATTTCTGACTTTCCCACTTTCCTCATTCCAAAAAGAAAGATGTGTGTGCGTGTGCGTCTGTGTGTGTGTGTGTAGTGTATTTTACCCAGAGTTATCCAAGGAAAGTGACCAGCTCTGAATCAAGAATTTTAGTTCTCAAACTTAGGCTTAAAACAGAAAATATCGGTTGGTCTCTAGGAGGTAGGAACCCGTCAGAGGGGCAAAGACTGAGTAGACCTTCAGTCTGGGTTGAAAGACTGGCTCTTCCAGTTCAGAATTCTGCCTGAGGCGGACCTAAAAGCTCATCCCCAGGCAATGCTCCTTCCAACACAGATCCTAGAGCTGATCCTTAGCACGACTGTTTAAGCCTCCAAATACCAGCCAAACCTTTGCCCTCACTGACCAAGGGACCTGCCGGGCAAAAAAAGGGGAGCTCCCAGTACGCTGCAACTTCATTACCTAGTTAGTAGCCACATCCTAGGGAGAAGGTCGTGCGTAAGATTCAAGGGAGTGTGTTTTCTTTGGGAAGGACATGGAAAGGGGGTGACCCCAAAGCCTTACCATGGGGACTTGACCATACTTCTTCTCATAGATCGGAATACGTTTACTCTTCAGTTTCTTCAAGACTTCCTGCAGCGCTTCGATCTGCAACACACCACCCCGGAGCCCGAAGTTGTTGCCTTGGCTACGAGCCCAGCCCAGGTGCTCACTTCCAGCCCCAGTTAAGAGTCTGGAACCACACACTCAGAGGCTGGACTCCGAGGACAAAAGGGACTTTCGAAGGGCAGAAACTTAGCGAGCGCTGTCCCAGGTACTGAGCGACTGCAGATCCCGGAGCCAGTGAGGCTCGCGTTGCTCAGAAGGGCTGGGATGAGGGATTCGCCCTACAGACTGCCCGGAGCCCGTGGGCTCCAGGCGATCTTCGGATGGCAACAGGTACCTGGGCTTTGCGCTCAGCTCCCCGCTCCCTACTCTGGGGATGGAAAAGAGGATGGGTCGGGGAACGAGGGACGCGTGCAAGAAAGGGACTGCGCAGCAGTCCAGGGGAGTCCGGGGCGAGGGGAATACTGACCAGCTCCTTCTCGTGGGAGGCGTCCTCCACAGCGGAGTAGATGTCCAGGGCTCGGGGCTGGAGCTCGGCGTCTTCCTGGGCACGGGCGCCCAGCAGAGGTAGCATCAGCAGCAAGGCGGCTCCCAGGAAGGGCAGCAACCGCAAGCGGGGGCTCTCCATGGTGCTGAAATTCGTTGTTGTTGGGGAACACCGCGGTCCCGCCTTTTATAGCGAGCCAGAGCCCGGGCGCTGGGAAGAGGGAGGAGGCGAGGAAGGAAGGGGGCTGTGGAGGAGGGCCCAGGTCAACCGTCTGTAGGCAGCGCTCCGCCGCCGCTTGACGTCAATGCCCGCCGGGCTCCAGGCGCCTGGGAACGAGGCTCTGCGCACAGATGGGCTAGAGCGCACGGAACAGGACCCCTCGCCCCCAAATGTTGTTAGCCCCGCGGTCAGGGACGCTCCCCCAGGGGCTGGAACTGAAGCCGAGGGGCAACGGGTGAGAGATGCGGAGCGGAAGCGGCCTAAGAAACGGAAAAAGTCTTCGAGGCAATGCAGTCAGAGAGTCGCTTTCCACCATCTAACCGCGGTGGGGTGGCAGCAGCCGTCCACCTCGCTGGGCCAGCCTTGTCCCTCATCTCACCAGCAAAAGGGGGATGGTGCTTCCAGACAGGCATGTTTATTGAGCACCTTACTAGGCATTCTGTGGGTAAAGGGGAGGCAAACACAGTACATAGAAGAAAGAGAAATCGTGGTCCTCCCCAAGACAGGTTCTTTGATGGAATCAATGTGGTAATAATGAAAAGAAAGGAAAACAGACTCACCTCGATTTAGCAGGACATAGGGAGAGCAAAGAACCATACTCTGGTTCCAGTCCTGGCTCCACCATGTATGAGCTGTATGATTTTGAACAAAGTAACCTCTCTGATCCTCAGCTTTTTCTTCTGTAAAACCGAGACTTAAAAGATGTACCCTGTTCAAAGGTCAGGCTGTAGTAACACAACTGGAACCACATAGAAAGGTCTTAGGTTGGTCTGGGACCTCCCCGCACATCCAGAGGGTGTAGGTGCTTGTGTGGGACCTCCCTGAGTAAGGGAGAGTGTGGAGGGATCTGGGTGATTCGGGGGTTGGGATGTGGCTAAAACTGGAGTAGATTGCAGAGTAAGGACTCTGGGGTGCGGAACTCTATAAATCTCTCTTTCTCTCTCTCTCTCTCTCTCTCTAAGCATGCACGTGTGCCCTATGCCAATTTAAAATCAAATGTACTTCACAAAATTATTAGGAGGATAAAATAAGAGATGAGGTAGGTAAAACTCCTTGGCGCAACACTAAGCTCCACATCCTTCCCCCTTTGAACTACTCTGGTACTGTGTGCAGTATCTTGTCTTTTTCTCAGTGGGGAAGGGGATTCCAACATCTCTAGAGCTCACACTTTCCCACCATGCACCCTGTCATCTCCCCACAACCCACCCTGCTACCTAAGAAGCTTATTTAGAAACAAGGTAAAGCAAGGCGAGGGGAAATATAGCTTCCTGGTTGCAGAAATACTTGAGGAGATTAGAGTCAAAGACCCTCACTGACTTGTAAAGACAATGTGTTTTGGGTTTGTTTGTTTTTTTTAGTTTTTAAAAATTATTTTATTTAATTTTATTTATTATTATTATTTTTTAATTTGACCAGAAAGAGACAGAGAGAAAGGGAAAGTGAGAAAGCAAGCTACCAGGTCTGGGACTCGAACCATTGTCAACTGTGTGGGAGTTCAGTGCCTTAACCACACCACATGCTGGCCCCCTTTATAGGTTTTTGCCATAGGACTGTGAGCTTGCCAGAGAGAGACAAAGAAGGGGAATGTGAGAAATCATCCTGCAGGGAAAGGTGGCAGCAATCCTTTGTCCTCCATTCTCCTCTCAGGATTTTGGGCACATGTACATGCGCCTGGTGTGATTTTCAAGCTGCCAGATCCAGAACTTGAACCGTGGTCAGCCACATGGGAGTCCAGCATCTTAATCACTATACCACCTGCTGGCCCCAATGTATTCTTTTTTATTCAACGTGAGGGTCCTCACTACATGATGCAAAGGAAAGTTACTGTAGGAGAAGTTATGCTTTCCCTCTTAGACCTAGAGACCTAGCCCATCTGTCCCATCTGCTTGCCCACCTGACTTCTTCCTTCACTACATTCCCTGTCTCTCAACTGCTCCTAAATCCTGTCACTCTTCTCCACCCTCATTACTACAACCCAATTCTGGATAGCTACCCACCTGATTTAGTATCTACTTCTTAAACTCTACTCCATCTTCTCCTAATCTTTGCCTAATCTTTAATTTGCATCCAGCCACAGTGGTTTTCCCCCTTAAAATACATGAAGGTCTTCTCACCTTACTAAACACTGAATCTAAATTCCTCACCTTGACTTACAAGATATTACACGACCTGCACCTCACCTCCACCTCCTGCTCTACCATTCTTCCTAGACCCTTCTCCAGTTTTACCAATCTTTCTGATTCTTTATTAGCTTAGTCTCACTCCTACTTTGATGTCTTTGCACTTACATTACCTGGAAAGGTCTTCCTGCAACCAAATGGCTCCCTGCTTCTCATCACTTAAATCTCAGTTTAAATGTCCCTGACTATTCAGTCTAAGTACCTACCCATTTATTCTTCCACAAACTTACTGCTTCACAGACATGTGGGTATTTAAATTGTAATAGGTAACACATGTCTGGTACTTCAATAATCAAATATCTAATTACTACTCAAATACACACTGGGAAGCAATTCAAGAAATTACATCTTTTCTGATGAATAACACACATATTAACAGCCTCAAAATATTTTGCTGTGGGGTAAATCCAACTTGGAAATGTATCTAACACCTTCCCCAGCTCTGCCATAATTTTTGATTCAATATGACAAAATTTCAGAGGCACATTTTACTATTTAAACCTTACAGAGGCATATTGGCATTCTGCAAAATCCATCTCTAGTGATCTTTGACATATTATAAGGTTCAGAAGAAAACTGACTCTGAATAATTTTAGCCCATCCTTCCACCAGGATGTGAATATTCACAGTGAAATAGTTGATCTCAAATTTTGTTCTATCTAGACACAAGTAATAGTGTTCCTTTTGTGCCACTTCTATCAGAAAAATAACAAAACTTCAAATCCTGCTGGTGTTGGGTTGATATTATCTTCATGTAAGGAGAGCACTACATTGAGATGAGGGGCTGGGAAAAGGACTCACAGATAATCCTGTAAAGAAATTCAGGGTGTCGGGGAACCAGCAGTTAGCGTAATGGCTATGTCGCTGGACTCCCACGTAGTCAACCGCGGTTCATGTCCCGGACCCGGTGGCTTAAAACTCACGCCGGGCGCGTGTGCGTGTGTGCCCAAGATCCCAAGAGGAGAATGGAGGAGAAGGGATTGCGGCGTGACCATCCCCTCTGGGGGGTGATTTCTCGCTTTCTGTCTCTATGTCTCTCTCTGTCTGTCTGGCGAGCGCACGCACCCTATAGCGAAAATCTCTCCAAAAAAAAAAAAAGAAATTCAGGGTGTCTTGGTTATTTGCATATTACAACACCTTCTTGAACAGAATAACTTTATCAGCTGTTTTTACGAAGCATGGAACAGTAAAGCTTAGGTCTTATTTTTTTTTTTTTTTTGAGAGGTGTTTGCTATAGGGTGCATGCACTTGCCAGAAAGACAGAGAGAGACAGAGAGATAGAAAGTGAGAAATCCCCCCCCAGAGGGGATGGCCAAGCTGCAATCCCTTCTCCTCCATTCTCCTCTCGGGATCTTGGGCACACACACACACGCCCAGCGTAAGTTTAAGCCACCGGGTCCGGGACTCGAACCGCGGTCAACTACGTGGGAGTCCAGCGACATAGCCATTACGCTAACTGCTGGTCCCTTGATTTCTCACTTTCTGTCTCTCTGTCTCTCTCTGTCTTTCTGGCAAGTGCATGCACCCTATAGCAAAAACCTCTCCAAAAAAAAATGCAAGTGAGAAATCACCCCCCGTGGTGGGGGGGGATGGCGATGCCACAATCCCTTCTCCTCCATTCTCCTCTCAGGATCTTGGGCATGCACGCACACACGCTCAGCATGAGTTTAAGCCAATGGGACTCGAACTGTTGTCAACTACATGGGAGCCCAGTGACATAGGCATTACGCCAACTACTGGTCCCAAGACCATTTTCTTTCTAAAGACAACTTCTGTAAGTTA